CTCACCTTCGAAATCTACGCTGTGCTATGACCTCATGCGTAATCCCTAGAGTATGTTCCAAACACTTTTTTTAACACCAAATTAATTTCTCTCCTTAATTCTAAATGTCTTAATAGCAACTAATTAGCTTAACAAATAAATTATACGGAAGCTTAACCGACTTTATATACAGACTTAGGTAGACTTTGTCAACGCACTAACCATAATCTAAGCATTGATAAGCATAAACATGCTAAACATGGCAAGATATTGCCATAAAAGTAGTGCCTTCAAGATTACCGATAAACAGAAGCAAAGAAAATCAGAATAAAAGAGCTTTTGTTTTAGCAAATTGCGTACTCCCGACTGTTTCTATCTAATCTTGAAATAATTAACTATGAGCCTCACGAGTGGAATGAGAAAATGCTTAGCCATCATGTGAGCATTGTTTACCAAAATGGATCCAATCTTATCTCAATTGAAATTCGCAGTCTTCCCGTTGAGAGGCAAAATTTTGATGTGGCTCTCGCGCTCTTCCGCTTGCCATCGACAATCTCAAGTGCAACAATTATTTGAGTGCGAATGTACTCGAAGTTTTTTCCTATGCACAATTACAATTGTTTTTTCAACGCTTCGCCATATCGCAATGATAGGCAACCGCAATTTATCGCGACCATTAATTAAACTTAGGTGGGAACGTTTGAAAGTCGCGTACATGCGCACTTGCCAGCTTATTTACCCTATATATAAGTATGTATCGAATAAGTTGGAATATACATACATATATATTTTCATTCTTACTCTTTTTTTTTTTTTTTGTTCTTTTTAGATATTTCACTTGCGCGACATACGCTGGGAGAAGTCGCAGTTTCTGTCGAAGAGCTTCCTAGGTTTTGTCGCCTTCAACTTCTTCCTGTACAGCCTATTTGGCATTGAGGTATTCAGCTCGCTGATAAATTCGGAACGTCGCGATTATGCGCACATCTTCAATGGCTGTTATGCTGTGCTCCTGCTGATTGTGGTTATCTTCTTTCTGATTTACGGCGTGGAGGTGTTCTTTAAACTACGTGGCGGTTTTGTCTACGACCAGACGGGCAAAATACTTGGGCCCAGCGAGGCAATCGTGAATGCCTCGCAGCTCCATCAGTCGCGTCTCGGCCTGCTCAGCCAGGCCATAATGCTAATTGTGATTGTTGGATTTCTAACGTCCGAAACGCTTGGTGATTTATGGAAGGGCAAGTAAGTTGTGCAATCTGAATTTGAAAGTGATCCCAGCTCTAATTATCTGTTCGTCGTCTGGTATATAGAGTGCCCGTCCATTCGCGCAACTGGTATGATATCATCTTTCGTATTGCCGAAATAGGCGTCGCCTTGTGGTTTCCCTGCTGCCTGTGGAACTCTATGGCACCTGAACAGCTCTGGATATTGAATCCACGCAAGCTGCTGTCCCGTCAAATCGATCCATCGATACCCACGCTCGATGCCGACAGCAACAAATTGTCGCCCGAAGAGGGACAGACGTTCCTGAGCAAAAAGGATTGCTGGATATGCTATGACAGCGATAAACCGGAACCGCTCATTCAGCCCTGCCGCTGCACCGGCGATGTCAGCTCTGTGCACCACGAGTGCCTCAAGCGTTGGCTAGTCGAGAGCTGTGGCAGCAACAACGACGCGCAGCTGGCTTGCAAGGTTTGCTCACATCCCTACGAAATCGAAAAATCCAAAAAGTAAGTAAAGTCAAAATCAATTATTTCACGTGTTCCACTCTTAACATAACATAACTCCTTTATGTAGACTCGAGTGGGACAAGGGATTCACCATACAGCATTGGATGAAGACCGTCATATTGATTACGCTAATGTGTGTGACGGGCGCTACAGCCTGGGCCATTATACAAATGTATGTGGATCCGCTGGTGCGTGTGCTCACCGTTGGCGTCGCTGTGCTCATTGGCTATGTGTGTGTCAAGTGTCTGGGCGAGAATACGGTGGTGGCCTATCAACGTGCCAAGGTTAGCTCCATCAACATTGTGACTAGCTCCGAGATGGAGAAACTGCATACCATCTGCGAGGATGTCAGCTCAGCTAGCACCTCAGCGGCGGCAGCTGCATCACAGGCCGCCTCCTAAAACTCAAGTTGAAGTCTATGCCATAAGGAAACATCACACCCATTCACAAATGCCAATGCATATGCAAACCAGGCGTATACATACATACACATATACATATATATGCATATAAATGCGTATATATATAGGGACAGACGTTAGACACGACACGAACGATATAGTTTATTAGATTTAGCGCCCTTTTTGCACACATTTTTGCTCAAGGCCCCCTCCAGAAAACAAAACTCTTCCCCGAAAACTGTGTACATAGGTTTTAAGTCTTTTAGTATGTAGGATAACGTTTCAAAAAACAAAAAGCAAAAAAAAAAAAAAAACAATCGAGTCAATTTTGTCTCTCAAAGTAGCACGCATTATTCCAAACGGTACATGTATTAAAACAAAACAAAACAACTGAGAAAAATCAAGCCAAATATTATATAATCTGTGTACCACATACATAAGCCAGTATCAATTATCTTACACAAATTATGGAGAACGTTTTGAGATTATGATTACGATAGCATACACACAGAGACACACATATACATACATACATACGTTGCCAAGTAGTTGGAGAAGTTTTTCAATTGATAAAGAGAAATATTCGAAATGAGTAGAGTTAACGTTAACAAAGGCACCAGTCAATGTCAGTCTAGCTGAGCATGTTTGTAGTTTGTAGCATATATATATTTACATATATATACATATATATATATATAGAAACACGTTAAGATCTTAAATTGTGAGCGTATGAAACGCATGCGTCTCTCCATACAGCACAGCTAAGTTTATTTGGCGAATATTAATTTAGGATCACACACATACATACAACACACATACCTATTATACTTGTATATTTTAAATTTTTTTTTCGTGTAATTTGTATTCAATGCGAATACAGTTCGCAGTATACCTTAAGCCTATACTTAACGAACCTAATTTATAAACAATTTATTCAATTATTTATATAAAAGCCGCGCCCACATTTCAATTGTGTTTTTGAAAGCAATTCTTTTTTTGTTTGCTATTCAAACATAGTTTCCACAAAATCAACACAACATATTTATATATTAAGCTAATATACATTTTTGTGATAAACCAGTTAAAATATAAATTAAAACATTTATAACAAATAAAATGCATATTTTTAATTGTTGGGGGAGCATAAATATTGAACTTTCCAAGCTGGTAAATGAAAGGCTGCAGCTAACTAACAGACAGTAAATAAAACTGTTAAGCTACAGCTAGAGCATTTGCAGGGCTGTTAAGTTGAATTTTCAGGACATGGCGATTGCAAGCTGTAAAGCGAACTGTTAAGCTGGTGCTGCAGCTGCTAACAAAATAATATCTGATGTTAAATGTAAACTTTGACTGGAATAAACAGTGTTAGAGCACAGCTTCATTGAGTGAATTGTTCGCCACTATTTAACAGCTGTTAAATTGTAGGAGTAGCGCTAGCTTCACTATGAAGGTCATGTCAATGGGCGTTTGCAGAGAAAAATGTTCGACGTAAATTCTGTAAGCTCGTGTAAACATAAAATGATGCAGCCATATGTGTTTGTTTGCCTATTTGTATATATACTCCTATGTCTGTATCAAAGCTAGAGGCTAGAATGCTGGCAGCAGCAGAGAGTGTTCCCATTGGTCACTTACAGCTCGACTGCAACAATCTCTCTAGCTCAACAGTTGAGCGCGACGTAGGCTTTGAGTGAAGGTCGGTACATATAAAGGGCAGCAGCCTCTTCAGTCGCCCAGGTCTGGTGAGGGCAGTCGTGCAGTGCAGTAAAGTGAAGTGACGTGTGAATAAAAATGTAATGGTCATTCAGCTGAGCATTAAAGGAAATATTTGGAAGAAACTTAGGAAATACACTAAGGGAAAACTTAAAGGAAAACAAATACAGGAAATATAAATACCAAATTAGTTAAATAAAAGGTCAGCAATCACATATTGTGCTAAATTATTATGTTGGATTTTATGATTCATACCGCGCCGTTTGCTAATACCCTGAGAAAAGTCTGAGTCAACAGCATTTACTTCGACTCAGTAAATTGTATATATTCCATATATTCAATTAAAAAACTCTTTTGTTGTCTTTTAAGTCTAGTGTTATACATTTATTTTACGCAGTTTACCTAGAAAATGTATTATTATTATATTGTGTATATGCTTAGATAATATGCATAATTAAAGACAAGTCGAGCTTTGATATATTTTCATCTATTGTATACAATCGTAATGTACTGTTTAGCTAAATACATTTCAAGATCGACAACGTTAAGATTTTAATTATTATTCATATAAAGAGAAATTTAAGTAAACTGAACTAAAATTCACACAGTCCTTTCAACCTGGCACAAACAATTTAATGCCAAAAATTCAATTTATAAATCACATTACTAGCTAATATTTTATATGCACTATATATAGAACTAAAATCTAGAAGCTAAATATCATTTATTTTGTTGGTTGCTAATAACTATATGAATTTTGTCACGAATTATAACTTGGCCGTAATCGGCGTAATTTGGATCGACTGATGCTTTTGATTTTGTTAGTATGCTAAGCCGTCTTATCAACTACGTGAAACAATTCAACTAATGGGAGGCGAGAGTCCAGGGTCGGCTAATGATGAGTGCTTGTGCCTATAAATTGTAGATATATGTATATGGTAGATGTTGCTAGATGAATTGCTGAAGTCTGGGGGGGGCAGCGTAGGATGTGCTCATAGAACGACAGCCGAGCGCTTATCACGATTCTTGCCACGAGTTATGGAACGTGCCTTGAAAGCGGCGGCATTCACCAGATGCTGCAAGATATAAGGAATTTATGTTATAGCAAAGCAGAGAAAATCTTATTCCTTTTTAGACTTACGCGCTCGAGCTTGGACTGTTTGACTTTGGCGTTGCCATTGATGCCCATGTTGTTGGGTCGTGGGCCCAGTTGGAAAATATCACGTATGAATTCGTTCTCCTGCAGCTGGGAGGTCATGCCGGGGCCCATAACGGCGCACAGGGCTGAGTACTGATGATGGATGGACCAGGCATCCAAGGTGAGAGAGTCATGTCCGAAGCGTATGCTGATCTCGGGCGAAATATCCTCCTGCAGAATAACAAATTGGAATATTAGTATGCGTCGACAGACTTTTCAGTTGAGAAATGTTTAGGTCTTAGGAAAATTCCCCCTAAAATTACTAAACCTAGTTTTACTTTTTCTTAAGGAACACTAAATTCGAAAATCAGAAAAAAAAAATATATTTTTAAAAATTTGAAAATTGAAAAAAAAGTTATTCTTTTATCAGGCCTTCAAGATGATGATCTCCACGTATCAGCATGACTATGTGCCGCCAAATTCAAAGCGGTACGAGTTTATGAGCCACCTGAAGGCCAAAGATGGTCTGGGTGGGGGAAAGATAGTGGAATGTGAATGCATAGCGGAGGACAAGATTAAGGCGCATCCGGATGCAGTCAAGAATTGCGCGGCCGTCGAGTGGACGGGGATAGCGCCGATGGGGCGATTGATCGATCCACGTTTGATACCCGCCGAACTGCCGCAGGATCAAATCGATCAGATGGCAATGTCGCCGGAATCTGATTGCCTGAAACTGCAACCGAATCGGTTCCTGAAAATCTTACGCAACGTCTACCCAGATTTGTACGAGCGCCTGAAGCTGATGCCCAAGGGAGAATTGGGCCGCAGACTGGAAACGAATCGCATGTACACGACCTATCAGATCGACTACTGCGACGTCAAGGAGTATCCCGAAGGCATCTACGAGAGCTTGAAGCCCAACGACGAGGTATCCAAGATCAAATCTGACAAGCTAATGACGAATAAGGCGCCGTGCTCAGAGTTCCGTTCGGATGTGATGAAACAGTTAGAGCGCGAAAATGCCACCGGCTATGAGGTGAAGGCCGATGAATGTGAGCAGGCGTACAAGCCATTCCAGGCAACATTCTCGGACTCTGCGCAGTTCGTCAATTCTGGCAATAACTCGCATTGGAAGACGGCGTCCAGCACCTTCAGCAAATCGCCCAACTTCTCAGAATACATGGACTCCATCAGTCGCAACGGCTGCATCATAATGCGCAACAAGCTGCACGATCACTCCAAGTGCTTGGCGAACCATTGCAGACACGAGATTCGGTTCAACTGCACCGACATGAAACCTTAAGCCCTGTTATGTGTAACTGTTCTTTGTTCCCAATCTATCGCTACACTGTATCATGTCATTTGTACAAATCCCCAGTGTCCAAATAAACTGAAAAAATGTAAGAGATGTTATCATTACCTCCAGATAGCGCAGCACATCACGGAAGGTGGCACGCTGTGCCTTGCGATCGCGCTTGGCGCGATATTTGTGCGAATCGGTGGCCAGTTGCTTGACAGCGTCGCACATCTCGCCGATTTCCTCCTCGAGGAAGTTCTCATCATGGGCACGACCCGACTCCAGAATCAATGCGATGGTCTCGCCAGCGGCCATGCGTACATCCAAATGTGGTGATTGCAGTAGACCCAAGAACTTTTTGATAGACCTGCAGCGGAAAATTGATTAGTCAGTGCTCCTTGAATATTAATTAGAATTCCTTTCAATAGCTTACGGAAATTTGTGTTGTCCATTAGTCATCAGGGAAACAAAATCGCCCGAGGGCACGAGGGTCAGCAGCAAGCCCCAGGCGGACAGAGCCTCAGCATGAAGAGTTCCCGCCTCGGCAGTGACAGAGATGGGCGACTTGTCGTCGCCGCGCAAATAGCTGCCGGCAAAGATGGTCTCGAAGAACTGCATCAGCTGGACTAGTGCGCCGATATCCTCGCAATCCAGAAAGTTGAGCAAACCAAGGGCGGCACAGCACTTGGCACGTGCATCAAAGTTAACCGCTTTGTCCTGCACGGTGGTCAGAAGGAACTGATTCATTGCCTTCGACATGCCCTCCTCGCCACCCAGTTGCAGCACTAGGAGTGGGGCCAAGCGTGCGCCCCACACTTGCTCCTGACCCTTGCCGCGTCGCACGCTCTTCTCAACAAAGTCCATGAGTGTCATTTTGCGATCCTCTACGAAGTCGGGCATATAGCGATGCATTAGCAGCTCGCAGATGGCCTGCAAGGCCTGAATGCGTGTCTGGGCCGATTTCTCGGTAGCCTGTTCCAAAGCCTTTTCAAATTTCTCCTCGAAGCGCTCATTGGCCAGATCCTCGGCAGCCTCTGAAGAGGCGACTTCCGAGACGTGCGAATAAACGCTCACATTGTCAAAGGACTCGTCCTCTGAGTTCGAGTCATTGATGCGGCCTGACAAATAAATAAAAGACAGACATTTGCATTAAAGAGCTGCTCAAAACAGAACAAATGTTATAGCTGATAGTTGGAAAGAAACGTTAATTAACATAACATTAAAATGGTTTGGGCATTGAATGGTATTGCTATATGCTATTAATGTTACTTTACATAACAGAAAGAGCATTACAGCCTATGTTAATGTTTGAGGAGAAACTGTTAAGTGGCACAGCATTTGCTGTTAAAATTGTCTACTGCTGCTCAAACTGTTAAAGTATTTATTGCTTGTGAAATGAGTCAAGCAAAAATACACACCCACACATACATACTTATATATGTGTATGGGTGTGCACACAAATTTCTACAATTTTCCGCCTGGTAGCGATAATTTTAGGCATGTGCATGTATGCGTGTGTTATAAATAAAGTTGTATGTACATATGTATACAAATTTATATTATATGCGTAATTCGCACAACAAAAGTAATTGAATGTCCATTGGTATTTCTTAGTTGTTTTTAGGGCACTCGTGTGACCTTCATATGAAAATGTTGTGCAACAAGTTTTAGCGTTTTTTGTTGCACTACTTTCTATGAGCACACATATACATACATACATCTGAACTGTTTTCATTTACCAGCTGCCTATTGAATGAGGACAAGGTAGTTTCCGGTATTGAGTTTTCATTGACTCGCAGGTATTGTCGCAGGTATATACACACACATTATATATATGTATATGCATATACATATGTTGACAGTATTGTTGTCTGTCTTGTAATCTCAGCAACAACTGAAAACAGCTGTTGGAAAAGCAAAACTTTGATTTGAAAGTTGTTTGGTTAGTTAGCTGATAGCTGGTAAAGCTCTGTTTTGAGAGCCTGATACATTTAATAATTTTTCGGTTATTATTAATATTAAAAAATGAATTTAAAAAAATTCAAAATAAATTACACTCTTAGTCTTTACTTTTAAGATTATTTAATATTTATATTAAATAACATTTTTGAATACTATATGGATGTGTTTGCATGCATGCATTACAAGCAGAATTTCTAATGAGGCATTCAGGCAAATGTGTTGAAAACACAAACACATATACATATGTATATGTATATGTATATATTCACATGTACATACATATATAAGATTTTGTGTTTCTTTGTCTATTTCTTGATAAGCTGGTATTCAATGTTCACACTTAAATTGTGTGACAATACCCTGACATTGTTACACAGCGCAGGGCATATTAAACATTATAGAAACGAAAACAAAATTTGGCAATACAAAAATGATATACAGATATATTTAAATTAACGCGAACTTATTCTACCTTCCCTGAACTCTACACAATATGTGATAAGAAACAACTCTACACATTTGGTCTTTTAAAAATTCCCCCTTTGGGTATTTCCAAAGTGCAATATCTGACAAACGTTAATTCTTTTTTTTTTTATTTCTTTTCCTTTTGCTTATTCACCAGCTGAGCGCGTGCAAAGCTTTTTTGCTTTTGCCAGCACAGCAACAATATATATTTATTTCGTTGATTGCCAAACAGGTTGGAGACGAAAGCTCTTGAAGCCAACGAAATGAATATTTCATGCTGTTCAAACATGGCATGTGCACATGAGTAATGCTAGCCAGCCCCCAGAAAGTTGTGTGCGATAGGTCAACAAACAAATTTTCTATTGGTAGCACCTGTAAAAAGTTTCTTAGGTTCACAACCAATTTCCCACCCTGTCCCCAGCATGACCCATGACAAGTCATTCGCTTTGTCTTTGTGTGACTCACCTTTGCCTGCTGCTTTCTTATTGCGTCGCGACATATTGATGCTGTTGTTGTTGCTGTTGCGTTGGTCGCTAGAACCACGAATTTTGTGTTTGAGTTGACTTTCGCTCTTCTTGACTACGATCGTTTTTGTTATTGTTGTTGCACGTACACACACACAAGCACAATCCCCGTTTGACAATGTCCTTTTGGACGCGCGAGCGATTGAGTGAGAGAGAGTCTACACAAAAAGTCTACACACACGAGTTTGGCGGCAACTATTGGCGGTACTTGCACGTGCTTCTTGCTTTTATTGATTTTCTATGTGTTGGGCGTTCAGGAATTTAGGTTAGAATTTTTGTTTGTGATTGGATGAGGCGACAGTTCTTTTTTTGTTTTTTATTTGCTTTGCTTAAATTGCAAGATTCTTAATCAAGATGCAGCTATGCAAAAGCTTTTATGTTTCCAATATCGTCTTTGCTGCTGCGCCTGCTGTTGCTGTTTGTTGCACAACACGCGTTTGGAAATGTTGAGAACTTTTACTGAACTGAATGATGTTGACTTGAACGCGCGTTTTATATTTATACACTTGTGCTGCTGCTGTTGATGCTTCTGATTATAAAAATGTTGGTCGTTGCTGTGTGATGACACAAATTTCATGTTTAATTGAAATTGAATTTTCTTTAGCGATTTCCTTGGCCTTGAGACTGCTACTGTGTCTGTGACGTCGACAGCGCCGCCTTTTCCGAGGGTGTAAATCGAGAGTTGTGAAATTGTTTGCTTCACAATTTTTTAGCTTCGTTTGCTGTTGACTGTTGTTTTCAATATGCACACAGGCACAGCTTTTTGTTTGATTAGTGTAGCTTTTAAGAAAAGCTCTACGTTGTCGATGAGTTGTTAAAATAATGCAAATAATTAAGCACTTTTCGTATTGCTGAAGTTGACGAAATTATAATGACACATTCGGATCAGTGTTGAGAACTGATTGAAGCTGGATATCGAAATTTATTTATCGAATTTATCAAATTGCACAACCTTGCAATTAGTGCACCTCACAGTCATCAGAATTAGGCGGAATGTTACAAAATGGAATTATTTATATCTGCAATGTTTTCTCTTGACTTTATTTTGATCGTATTGTAACTAAAAATAATTGTATTTAAAATAAAGCTTGTACACGAAATCAGGGTTGATATTTGAGAGTATCGAATCAGCTGTTTGACAAATAGGGCGCCAACTGTAAATACAATTAAATTATAAATAAACAATAAAGTTCAAATATATTTTTTACAAAGTGAAATTTAAAACAAAAAATGAAAAATAATTCTTTATTGTTTATATTAGTCACTGTTTAAGCCCAAGGATATGTGTTGCAATCGGTAATTTAATAAAAAGCAATATGGCAATAAAGCCAAGGGAAGGTTTATTTATTTTTTACATAAATCCATAATAGTGTGTTTATGATTCTTTATGCAAAAGAATTCAACTAAATTTTGATATACATTTTTGGACAATTTATTTGCTGAAATTAGGTATTATCCCGTGTCAATCAATTATTGATCAATTAATAGATTAACTAAATATATTTATTAGTCATGATCAACGTATGCCTTAAGATTACGATCAACTTTCCGTCATTGGCTTTTGAAAATGTAGTTTCTATTGAATCTATTGCAGGAGCACCCAGTATTTGTCATCGATATCGACAAATACCATTTCAATAAGTATCGCAGACCTCAATAGATATCGATATGTGGTCCCACATACACAATCATTGGCCATAGTATGTTTATTTTTATTGCAAAACGCATTTAAAAACAAGTAGCAAACCGTCGGTTGCTGCTTTATTGATCGCATAAACAAATCGCACTTCACACTGATAAGTAGTAGTTCATTATCAGCGATGCTCGTTTGCTACAAACAAACAAAATAGCAAACAACGAAAGCAGCAATAATAAATATATTTCATTGAACTTCGACTCGAAGAGAACACGAACTTTGTAACTTCGACACACACTTGCACGCACACTCATACACGCGCACATACGTATGCAGTCGAAAGCGTCAGTCGTCGATGTGGATGTGAATCAATAACCAAATTCCAGCAGCAATAATAATAACAACAACGACGACACCAATCTGATAGATATTTACAGCCTCAGTTTTGGCCGTCTGCACTTGCACAAGTTAATTAGGTAATTTGTAAGCTGCTTGCGACAGCATCAGCGCCATTCACCAGCGTGTCTAGAAAATGTTCAAAATACAAACAAAAATAGCTCGCTGATTGGGGAAGCGATTATCGCTGAACCTTAACCAACAATATCTGTATCTAATCTATAGTTTATGGCTGGTTCAATTACAATTTGTATATTGCAGCAATTTCAGTTGAGAGCTAACCATGGCCAGCATTGAGGAACGTTTCCAGGCTGCTGTTAATGTGATCAAGGGACTGCCTAAAAATGGACCCTATCAGCCCAGCATGAGCATGATGCTCAAATTCTATGGCCTGTTCAAGCAGGCATCGGAGGGCGATTGTTCACCCAAGAAGCCGGCCTTCTGGGATGTGGTGGGTCGCGCCAAATGGGATGCCTGGAATAGCAATCGGCACTTGACCAAGGAGCAGGCGATGCAGCGCTATGTGGAGAGTCTGCAGGAGATAATTGAGACGATGTCATTTACCGAGAATGTGCAGAACTTTGTTGGCAGCCTCGACGGCCTGACCAACATCAACCTGGACGAACTGGATCTGGTGTCGCCCGGTATGCGCGAGCTAGCCGAATCGCATCCAAATTCGCCGTTCCATTCGCGCACAAACAGTCCACAGCATGGCAACAGTGCAAATGGCGTAGAAGTTGCAGCCGGGGACACGCCCCCAACTGCCGCGTCGACAGAGACCTTAACTAATGGCCACACAACGCCAATGACCAATGGCTTTGCGAGCATGAAGGCAAGCAATGGCTACTCGCCGCTTGATTCGAGCAACAATAACAACTACACAAATAACAGCAGCGTGGCCATTGTGGAGCCATCCGACGATGAGTACGACGATCCGTATGAAACAATGCTGCCTCAAGAGCTAACCCAAGCCATTACGCACAATACGGATCTGCTGCGGCAAATCCAGAGCACAGTGGCGAGCATGAACAGCGACATAGCTGCAGTGCAGCAGCGTGTGACCAGCATGGAGCAAACGTTGCTGGAGCTGCGCAATGCCCAGAAAGTGCAATCAAAGAGCGGACGACAGCAACAGCAGCCGGCCTGGTGGCCATTCAAGGATATATCGCCAGTTTGGTTTGCACTGTTGGTGCTGTGGCCGTTCGTGGTGCGACGGTTGGCGCGAATGGTGGAGAGCAAACGCCGCTGACGGCGCATTAAACTAGCTAAATTGGTATGGTAGTTAAATTGTAAGTACGCAATATTACCTGTAGGTCTGCAAAGAGAAACACACTCGAGTGAGCTGAATTACGTTGGATGGGAAGCCGAAAAGATCTGACTGACTGCTCTCTAAAAACTCAACTGAATGAATGAGAAGGCGGCTAAACGAGAGCATAATGCAGCAACATGCGCTCCGTAATACGAAGTTAGGAAGTGTTCACTGCTTTACCAAATTTTTCTTTCGTTTAGTCACTCGCACTCATTTGAGTAACCGACCGAACACGCGCTCAAATTCATACTCACTATGCATTAAATTTTACGTATGCTGGGAGCGTTGCCTTGCAGACCTCTTATATAATATTTATACATTTACTCAACTCATTTAGTAATTATATCCTTTCGCTTGCCTTGCAGATACTCACGGTTATGGGCACGAGCTTTGTGTGGCTTGATTTTATTCTCGAATGCTTTGCACTTCCTTGTACAGAGTTGGCCTTGTATTTAGTTTCTTAAGATTTAACCAGTTGCAATATGTATATTTTATATATTATTATGTGTTAGTCGCATGTAAGCTATTGTGTGGCACATTCCCATTCCACCCACCCACATCCAAGCTCCAGATCCCATCAATATTTTGTGTTAGATTGTAAGCCAAAAGTTTTCTTTTGTACATTTTGCCCAGGCTGGGCGCGCTTTTGCCTTGGCCCATAGCGTTGCCTCTTCGTTGTTTGTGCAGAGACTGTGGCAAATGGTTGTAAGATAATTAAAGTGAACAATTTGATTTGTTGTTAATTATAATTTTTGTAATAAAATCATGTAAAATGCTGATTATCACAATGCATAACTGTTCTTTGTGCGGAATGGGACGTTAGATCTGTGGCTGGGCCGTAATGCGCAAATAGCTCTTGCCGGACGGCACTTCGATTGTCTCAATGCCCTTGGGGAACAGCTTGGGCACATCTACGGCCTGCACGGAGGGCAGCACCATGCACTGGCCGCCCTGTTTCCAATCGGCGGGCGTGGCCACGCTTTTTTTCTGGGTCAACTGCAGCGAGTCGATAACACGCAAAATTTCACTACGAATTAAAAGAGATCAATCAAAGTTTACATTTTATATTCCAATTGAAACCTACTCGAAATTGCGACCCGTTGTAGCTGGATACAGAATGGAGAGACGGAGCTTCTTTTTGTCGTCAATGACGAAGACTGCGCGGCAGGTGAGCGGTATGCCCTCTGCACTGAGTTCATCATTGTCCAGCATATTCAGCTTTACAGCCAATTCGCGCTTATTGTCTGCTATGATAGGATAATCAAAGCTGGACAACTCTGCGTGCAAATGAAAACATTTAATATTTTCCAGCTTAACAAATTCAACCTCAACTCACTGGCATAACTCTTAATGTCCTCAATCCAGGCATTATGCGATTCTGCTGTGTCACACGACAGCGCAATTGGCTTAACGCCGCGCTTCAGAAACTCCGGCATTAGCTGGGCAACGCGGGCCAGCTCCGTGGTACAAACGGGCGTAAAGTCCGCCGGGTGCGAGAAGAGTATGGCCCAGTTGTCGACCATCCAGTCATAGAAATCAATTCTGCCCACATTCGTCTGAGCCTCGAAATTGGGAAACTGGTCGCCAATATTTAGTGCTTTGTTCGACATTTTGAGAAATAGACAAGTAAATACAACGAACGGAAAAAGCGTAATGCAACTGCAGCTGTCAAGCTCTCGATAGACATACTATCAAATTGAATAGTGAAACAAACGCGCTTTAAGGCTATCGATATCGTAGCTATCGTGCTTAGCATTGGAAGTCTTATCAACAAATAAATCTGAACAAACTATTTTCATTCGAAATACACTACAAACAACAATATAAATACATAATAAACACATAAGCAACATTTCCGATCTATTAAACTAAATAATCAAACTCTTTTTCAAACTATCGATAGCACTGGCCGCATCCCGATTAGTAGTTATCGTATCTATCATTAGAAGATTTATCTACAGTGCAAACAAATAAACACTTTCTTCATAATACACACAAGAAGTAATCTGCAATTATAACGAGCACGTCAAGGAGCATTCCTGATCTTAGCATCAGCGGCAGCCAAATGAATCCTCCACCTCCGCCACCGCCTTCAGCTCCATGCGCCACAGAGCCGTTTCGCATAACAACAAATGCACCGCAAATGCTCGATGCAAACTTAACCCCTGGGCGAAGAAAGCTTCAGAAGTGGCTGGGACGTGTCCTACGCATTGTTATAACGGATGGACGTGTTTTGGTTGGTTTCTTCAATTGCACAGATCGCGATGCAAACATTGTGCTGTCCATGTGCGCCGAGTACTTGGTGGAGGGACAAGAGCCTCGGCTGCTGGGAAACGTGATGGTGGCCAAGAAGCATATCGTCTCGCTGAACATCGACGAGCCGCGCACATCGACAATTCTTTAAGCCATTCATACAAATTCTGTAAGCATGCAATATTACCTAATGCAATACAGGCAATACTCCCACAGTGAGCCCCAAAAGTTAACCTATATTGTAGTTTCTCCGCTGAACGCACCTCATAAATCGTAGATAGGTCAGATTAAAAACAAAGGCAAAACCAATTGTATGATATACACTTCTTAAAAAATTTAAATTTTCTATATATAAACAGTCAAGAGGGCAATGATTTTAATAAAATATATACACAAAAAACAATTATTTATTCAAAATATATAATATGTGTAATGTAAATATTTACATATATATTTCATGTAATTAAATATTTATGTATAAATATAAGGTACATATTTATTTAAACTACTGTATTGTCTCGTGTTTTGCTTGCTTACATTGAGTTGCCAACTACTTGTATAATAATAATAATAAATTATGATATATATATATAATACGAATACTTCTGAATAAAACAAATTAATTAATAAATTTGCCACAAAACATTTCTCTTTATGTATTTCTACAGAGATTTAAATCTGTTTATATTTCGTTGACAATCAGCTGTGGTTGTGGTATTTTTATTCGCTTTGCCGTTTTTTAGTACATTTCGCGTGCTCCGCCTTTAACAAAGCGACAACTAAATTGTTGGAAGAGGCATTAATAATGTCAACACAGCAGTAGAGCAATTAATTGTTAAAAAACAACACTCAATTGAACACCAATCAGCGATGGATTTCACGACCTTCGTTAAGCCTTCAAATGGCGGTGCCAATGAAAGCGACGACACAAGTAAATTGCAATTTTGGAAGCATGTGAAATACATTGAGAATCATGGGAAGCAGGAGGACGATTACGAGTACTGCATGACCGAGTTCCTGCGCATGTCCGGGATCTTTTGGGGCGTCACGGCGTTGGACATAATGGGTCAGCTGGACCGGCTTGATCGCAAGTCCATCATTGAGTTCGTCAAGCGCTGTCAGTGCCCGGTCAGCGGCGGATTTGCGCCCTGCGAGGGTCACGATCCGCACATGCTGTACACGCTCTCCGCCATCCAGGTGCTGGCCATCTACGATGCGTTGGACGTCATTGATTGTGATGCCGTGGTTCGTTTCGTAGTCGGTCTGCAGCAGCCCGACGGCAGCTTCTTTGGCGATAAGTGGGGTGAGGTGGACAACAGGTTTAGCTTCTGTGCGGTAGCCACGTTGACGCTGCTCAAACGCATGGAGCAGACCATCGATGTAGAGAAGGCAGTCAAGTTTGTCATGTCATGCTGCAACCAGACCGATGGGGGCTTCGGCTCCAAGCCAGGCGCTGAGTCACATGCAGGTGAGTCACAACATGGTTATCAATGCTTATCAAAGCTCAGTCATTATCCGTAATGCCTTGCAGGCCTCATCTATTGCTGTGTGGGCTTTCTCTCCCTTACCCATCGGCTGCATCTGCTGGACGTCGACAAGCTGGGCTGGTGGCTCTGCGAGCGGCAGCTGCCCTCGGGTGGACTTAACGGTCGCCCCGAAAAGCTGCCCGATGTGTGCTACTCCTGGTGGGTGCTCTCATCGCTGACGATTATGGGTCGCTTGCATTGGATTAGCTCCGAGAAACTGCAGCAGTTTATACTCTCGTGCCAGGACACGGAGACGGGCGGCTTTTCGGATCGCACGGGCAATATGCCCGACATATTCCACACGCTCTTTGGCATTGGCGGCCTCTCCCTGCTGGGCCACCCCGGCCTGAAGCCCATCAATCCGACGCTCTGCATGCCGCAGTACATCATCGACAGGCTGGGCATTCAGCCGCAAGTGCTGAACCAGGCATGAAATGGAGCAAACCTGATGATATTAAGACAAAAGCTATAGCCAATGTTAAATGATTAATTTATAGAACGGATACCTTAAAGAGCCCAAAAACAAATCGTACGATTCTAGTAGAGTTTAAACAATGTCAAAAGTTCATTTCTATATTAGCTACACTTTACTTTTATCAACAATTGTCGCTTGTTATGCATTTATATATCGATTCATATATATATGTTCTATTGTTTTTTGATAAGCAAGCCGTGTAAACATCTTTTTATATTTGTAATATAATAGAGTAACAAGTTAATAAAAGACACTATTTTTATTATAGCATGCAAAAAGAGATCAAGAAAGATTTAAATACTTACGGTACAAGGGGAATTCAAAAAAAAGTTTTTAGAAAGCTGCCTAAAATGTATTTTCCTATTTCTATTTAAAAGTTTGTAGCTTTGAAAATTTTCTGAAAATGCATTCAGCTTTAAAAAACAAATGATTTAATTATTTAAAATAATTTTAAAAATGCATATTACATTGCATTTATTCCTTTACCAATTTAATAGATTTTTAATTTATTGCAGAATGTGGAGTCCTAAAATTCCGTATACTTATCCGTATATATTGATTTCAATGCAAAAATAAATGCTTACATAATGACATTCTAAATTTGAAGAAGTAAAAAATATTTTGTAAAAAAAAACTGCTTGAATTTCATTTCCAATTTAACAAATTATTTATTTCATTGCAAAAATAAACTAATTAGTATTATTTTTTATAACTTGCATAGTTTCCAATTCATTTAAATATGTAAACAATTCTATAAATTAGATATGCATGCAGAGATATATATATAGTATTTACATATAAAGGTATGTACTTGAGTCTAAAACCTAGGAGGGTGTTACGAGCTTATCGCAGCTTGCGTTTGGTCACACACAAAACGAACAAAAATTTGGAATTACAAGAATAGGAAAAACAAATGTACAATGAAACAAAGTCAAGTGCGGCCACTACACGAGTTAAAGCTAAATGAATTTGCGCTTTCAATTAAAGACAATTGAAATGAATTCATAGCGCATAAATATTTTAACTGGCTAGCAGATACATAGACTATATAGTTCACTAAATGTTTGCGTGTGTGTGTGTGTCCGTGTGTGTAGTATACTTCGATGCACGTCTAAGGCACTCCATAAACAATTTTAGCTATATATATACATGTAATATATATATATCTACAGACTAAGTGATGAAGAGAACTAGGAATTATTGTATTTCTCGTCGCTGGTTAAGACATTATAGGCACAGCCCAAGGCCCAAGAGATTTCATGGCCATCGATCTTCTTGTAGAGCTAAAAGAAAAGACATAAATAAATATAAACATATATATTATGGTCAATCAATTTCCCAATCTACCTTAATTTTCTTGCCATCGTTTAGGCCAAATCCTTCACGTAGCAGCACCGATATGAAGGTCAGGTCAAAGCACATGAAGGGCTGCTCATCGTTGGGTATGGCACAGATCTCTTGCGCCTTCTTGCGATAGGCCTCCACGGTCGTCTCGCCGCCCGCTGTCGGATCGACCAGACCCGATTCGATGGCGCGCTCAAAGTAGTAACTAAATGCCGCCACCGCATGCTGTTTGAGCGTGAAGGGTTTCGGCTTGACCAACGGCATCACCTTGCTCTTGACCAGCTCCAGGCAGGCCTCGAAGTCAACCACTGGCTGCTCGGCGCTGGATTTGCTGTTCTCCTTGCCGCTCACTTGGTACTTGACATTGCCGTAGATCCAGGTGCGATTGGCAATGATGGGATTCACGCAGATGCTCTCTACGAACGTCTCCTCGGCGCTATAGCCCTTGGTGAAGACGGCATGCCGGGCAGCCATGAGACCCAGGCCGAGGTAGCTGTGCGTGAACACATTGATCTTCTTGTTGGAGGTGATCACCTCGTGCATGTACTTGTCGTACACGGGCACCTGCTCCGGGTCTGTGGGCGAGAAGGTGACCTGAGTGCTGCCGCCGCCCAAGTCCAGGGCGGCTGCCTGATTCGTTTTGGACAGGCGGCCCAGCAGGAAATTCACAGTGAACCAGCTGAAGATGCCCTCGTCCGTGCCGTCCATAATCTCAACGGCATCGATGTCCACGCTGAACTCCGACTTGGCGAACAAGTCCCGCACTGCATTCAGCAGATTCTCGGCTTTGCTCTGGGGCAGCAAGCGCAGGCCAGCCGTGGCCTTCAGCACCAGCGGTGTGGAAGCCCAATGCTCCTTGGGTATGAAGGCACGCGCCTCATCCAGCAGCAGCTTAATCGAGTGTGCGCCCTCGTCCGGCTTATCCGCGAACGAGCTGAGACCCGGCTTGCGCTCCTTGAACAGCTCCTCGTAGAGCACCAGTTTGTTGTCAATGAAGCTGCGATTGAATTTATAGGCCAGGACGCGGCTGCCCGTCGAGCCGGCATCTATGATGGCGGCGTACTGGACCTTGTTGTAGCCCAGCTTGGAGGCGAGACGGGCCAGATATGGACTCGCATTATCCGAGGCAAGGCCTGAAGCAGATTGAGATTGTTGTTGTTGTTGTTGTTTGTTGTTGTATGAGCGATAGTTAATGGAGACAGTGGGCAGAACAGAGGATTTGGTTAGATTTGATTGGGTTGATTTAGCATAAAACAATTGATACACACCAAAGACAAAGAGCAGCAGGACAACAGAGACAACCAAACATAGAAATGAGACTTTGAGGCCACTGGTCACACCGCCGCGTCCATTTCCGTTTCCGGCGCTGGGGCTGCCCTTGCGTCGATTTGGCTGCGACAATTTGTCATCGCTGGCCAGCTGCAACATTCGAATATAAAACACATTAAACAACTATTCAAAAACAGTCAATGAAATATACAAATGCATATATGTATGTATAGTTAATGTCTGTCTTCAATTCTCTACCAGTTTGTATTCGTATCTCATGTCAGTGCGTCTGCTGTCTATAAATAACCAGCATTCTCCTTAAAACACATGTTGCCAGCAGCTGCCTCAATTGTTTGTTTAGTTCAATTTTTTTCTTTTTGGCCCTGAAGTACAACGTATGCAATTCTTTCGGCCCAGACAATTTCGGTTTCTTATCTGTTACTTGGCAGTGTTGTTGCCGTTTATCGGCAGCGAGGGCTGTCAAGTATTGGCTATCGATAGTTTGCGGTGCCAGGGCGGCGCGCGCTCATTGAGCTTTGCAAAAGTGCTTTGGAGCTTTGTTATATTTGTGCTGCTTGGGCAATTTTAAAAGTGTTATATGCTTTGTTTTTTAGAGATCCCAAAATGTTTTGAAATCATATATCCATGATTTAATTTAATTTAATTACATATACTTATAGTAGGTGCTTTTGTTAAAATTTGTTTAGAACTTTAGATTTTTTGTATATGGCAATGAATTTGGGCTATGAGCAAATTTTACACGCTTGGCTAGCTTTTAGTGATTTGTTATACGCGTGTCTTTGAGCAACTGTTGAAATGTGCATATATTATTCAAATTAAATTGCATGTTTATTTCATTTTAATTTTTTGTATACATTTTGTTGTTATACCTTGCTGAGTCTTAAATTTTTGCTTAGTTAAGTAATTTTAGCTGAGTAAAATAGAGTGTTATATTCTTTAGGTGGCATAGCATTGCTGATGTCTGCTATAATTTTGTTATATAATAGTTTATTCAATATATATTTAATAGTTATCACACTCATAACTTTTAGTGAGGGATTACTCTAGACAAACTATTTCTATCATTTGCTTATAACGATGACAACGCATTTATTTCATTCACTCGCCGCTGATGAAAAGCTTTAGATTTATATTTTACACATGGATTTGTATTCTAGTCTTATCTTATATTTCTATATTAATATACATGTATGTAATGTTATTTTTATTTTGAAATTACAATTATGTCAAGCAACTGAAGAGTCATGCGAAATTACAAATTTCCCTAGTGGCCCCCGTGAAGGTTATCTTATTGACAGATAAGATATCGTTTGTTTGACTTTCAAGTCTTTTAGCTTGATTAAATATTATTGCTGAAGTGGCAACGACAGCCGAAGGGAGAAGACGAAGGCGGACTAGACAAACTCACCGCGATTCCCATTAAATTATTTACACAAATGTTTCAAGCTCTGCAAATAAATTAGCACTAAAAAAACAAAATGAAAAAAAAAGACTAGCAAACTATTACAGACGGCAAATGCAATTATATAAATGTGTATATACCATCTAATATATAGGGTAAAAATACATATCACTAATTTACATGTCAATTGCATTGGCACTGCTTTAACAAAGCGCTAAATTGCTCCCCAGTGAGACCTCTGGGAATGTCGCCAGGTGCGCTGAGGTCTCGGCGCCTTCTAATCGATACAAATATAAAATATTTAATAGAATTTAATTATGTGCATATAAAAGAAATTAAACATTGATAGCCATGACGTGACCGAACGGAATTCTCGCTTCGGCCAAACATTTTTCGTATCGCTTATCTTGAACCGTGCATTATGTGGGTTAATATGCGTTGAGTGCTTCACTTATCAGTCGGTGAGTAAATAAATAACTCTATTGCTAACTATTTCATCAGACGTTATGAATATAACAGTAGCACTTAGAAATAAAACATGATGATTGAATTCATTCGGTAATTATATTTTAAAATCATAAATACTGAAATGAGTAGAAATTATAAATAATTATGCAAGTAATTTATATTTATTTATTTATTTTTTATTTCCTATTATTAATTTCTTAGCTAGCCAAATTAATTTTATTTTATTAAGAATATTTTATTTTATAAATATTTGAATTTATTTATTTTAAATACAAATTTTATTTATTATAAATTTTATTTAAATTTTTTAATTATTTATTATATTAAAAATATTTATGTATTATAAATATAATACAAAAATTAAATCAATGTTTATTTTCAACAAGATAAAAAAACTTGTAAATTTGTTTACTACTTTTAAATAAAAAAAAAAATTGATGGTTTACATTAAAAATAATTGTAAACGTTCAAAACAATGTATTAAAACTAAATTCATTTCAAGTAAAAATTTGTTTACCGTAAAGGGTTCTTTTTTTTTATTTTTTATTTTATTTTTTTTTACTTTTATATGTAAGTTTTATTTATATAAATGAATATAAATATATTTATATTTAATGCTCAAAATTACTGCTCCATCAGGGTTAAGAGTCGTATATCAACCCGTTTTGCCCACACACTACTTTTTCCTTGCCATAGAAAGCAATTTATTTACTACATTGAACTATCTCAATTGCCCGCATCAATTTAACGACCTTGCGGTGAGTGAAAGAGAACGAGAGAGAGAGAGAGAGTAAGTGGGTGAGAGCAACATGCTAAACAGGTGAGGAAAATGTAAAACCTGCTGATTCCCAAATGCCGGAAGCAAACTAAGCGCAAAATGGGCCGAGCGGTCAAAGTTTGGGTTGACTAACTAAATACGTGAATAGAGGCATATATATGCATATAAGTATAATCAATATTTCAAGTGTAAATAAATCAATATTTAGTCATATTTCAGGTTCTAACAACCATCAACTTGACAACAGTTCAATTGGTCTGTAACAGAATTGGAATTTACAGTGTTATACTGTGATAACTACTCTGTTACAGTAATATTAACTGTTATACTGACATATAGCGATCTCATGTGGCATATGGTTTTATATTTTACCTATTTTTGCTACACTGTGGCAAATGTATTTCTAGAAATATTTTTCTCATCTCTATTTATAAGTAAAAGCCACCTGTTGCACACTGGTCAGTGACTCCACTAACTATTATAAGGAAAACATTTTAGATCAGCTTGGCCATGAAATTTGTAGATTAATTTTTCCTTATCTTTATCCATGCAAACAATGAACACATATAAGCCGGCAACTGTTATATTCATGTAGCCTGAGATCATTTGGAGCAAACAATGTAGATACATAATTGTAGCACATTTAGGTTCGCACATATCTTGTTGCTCATATCCAACATTAGTACACCTTATAAACTTAGATCAACTAGGCAGATCTGTCTTTTGCTCATCTCTAACACACTTATACTATATGCCGGGCGCACGCAGCAACAATTGGAATTGAACATCAATTAAGTATGTAAATAAACTTGGCACACTAAATGCGAATAAGTATTTGCTTTAATTTCCGTATCAGCTTATGTTTGTATTGATGTATGTGTGTAAACGCGCCGAAATTAGCATTTGAAACAAATGTAACAATGCCCTTTAACCTTAGCATACCTTTCTCTTTCGCACATCGGTGTTTGTCATTGTACTAAATTTGTTGAAACTCTTAATAAACTTTATTTACTAACACATTCGTTTACTTTTTTTGGCAATCATTAACGGTTCATTAGAACGCTAAAGGGTAATTTGTTCTTGCGCTTAAAACTACAAACAATTAAACAACACCAACCACCACGTCGCGCACGAAATGGCGTACTAAATTAAACTAAAGGTTGTCAAACAGCTGTTGCTGTTATTTGAAGTGTCCAATCAGTGTGGTATAACACTGTTTTATGAATTAATGGTCACCCTCACAAGAGCCAGTTGATAAGCGGCACCCCAAAAGAATTTAGAGATTTAATAGTTAATCTTTTAATTAAAGTTTCAATAATATTATATATAAGCAATTTTCAATTAATTAACTTCAAAGAAACAGCATAACTTGTTTCTTAAAATTCTATTCGATTGAAACGGAAATCATATAGATAGTATTTGTGTATTTTGGTATTTTATGTGTATTACACATTTTATGGTTCTCTTACGTCTGGTCACGCTGATTTTTTGTTTTCTTTTGCTCTTTTCAAGTATTGTTTTTTTTTTTTACTTCTCGGTCTGCGGTCACACTGCGGTTAGTACCAAAACAAATGCCGTTCGGAGAAGTTGCGCGCGTGCATGTGTAACGCCGCAAGCGTTGTGGAAAAAAGTGTTTGTGAAAATTTCGTTTTACTGTGCAAAACCAGTAGCGATAGCACAAAACCAAAATAAAAAGTAAATTTATTAAATATTTTTGACACCAAATTTGTCAAATTTTGCAAACATACTAATAGCGGCTAAGAAAATAATTTGTTGTGTATGTTTTTGAAGCAGAGTCAGCCGTCCACCGAATAAGATTGTGTGAGTGTGAATGAGTGTGGGTATGTGTGAGTGCAAGTGTATGCGTATGCGGAATTGTAAAATGCAAGCAATCGCATTAAAATAAGTAATACATAAATTAAGTCAAAGCTGCATAAGAAACAGATCAAAAAGGCAAATGTTAATTCACGCAGCGTAAAATAACAAAACTACAAGTACAAAACTGCAAATGTGGGGCCGTGCGTACGTGTGTATGAGTGCGAGTACGTGTGTGTGTGTAACGACGGACGACAAGAGCGCAATAAGATAAAATTGAAGGTTATTCTCTGAAAAAAAAAAAAAAAACAAGTGCCTGTGTATATGTATGACAGAGAGAGGAAGAGAGCGAGCGAGCTAGAGAGAGGCACAACTAAAATAGGGAGAGCGCACGCTCGCTCGAAGAAAGCAGCGCACAAAAGCAAATGCTGAAAATGTCAATAAACTCTGCAAAGGTGAGGAAAAACGCAACGCAAGAGTAGCTTGCCAGTGGCAGAGGCAGAGCCAGCGACAGCGACAGAGGCAGTAGCAGAGGCGGCGCTCTGCTGCCGTGTAAAATGAAACCCAGAGCAACAGCAGCAAAGAAAGCAGCCAGCAAGCAAGTGCAAAAAAGAACAACCCACACTCACACATACACACATGCATACGTACAGACATACACACACACACACGTACACGTACGTTTATAAAGAAAGCGCACGTACGTGTGATTCTTATTGGATGGCGTTGCAGAAATAAATCTGGTTTTGCGCTTGCAGCTTCCGCGTTGCAACTTCAACAGTTGCCGTTTTGCAGCATTTTGTTTATTTACTTTTTGTCAATTTGCTGTGCTCGGTTGCTCGTTAACTCACACTCGCACACACACACACACATGCATACACAGCGACGCTGAATAATTAATTTACCGTTAATAACTCACAGGTGAAAAGAATCAAATAAAGTATAAAAAAAAAGAAACAACAGCAACAACAAGCGGCGGCGTTCATTGTGCAATAATATTACCGTTCTCGTTATTGTGCAAATATATTTTATAAATCCACTTTTACAACAACAACAAATGTCTGATAAATTTACATTAAAAAGAAAATGTAAAACATGTGTATAAAATAATATAAAAAAGAATATAATAAATTAATAAACAACAACAAATAATGCAAATGCAAATTAAATAAAAAATTGTTATACGAAATTAGTAAACAGTTGAGTAAATATTAAAAGACAATTTATAATTAAGTGAGAAACATAATTCTGACTTTTGTGTCACACGGCAACACCTGTTTTTTAGGGAATATCAAAAACAAACCTTATTAGACTGAATATACGCCCAATCGGAATACTAAATTTACAATTTTGAATGGTAAGTGTGAAATGTTTTAAAGATTTGACTCTAGTTAGACATGTAAATAAATTTGAATATATAATAATCGATAGTTATGTTCTGCATACGTCAAGTTCTAAGTTAATCGATTATCGATAGTTTACAAAGTTTTTCAGTAATACCAAACGGAGTAGTTAGATTACTGTGGAGCTAGATATGTAATTATATTTATATATATGTTTGTATATATAATCTCTTAGCTTATATCCATATTTGGTTCGAGTCTCTTTGCTTTAATCTTGAACTTTTGCTGTCGGGCCCTCAGCCAATATTTCCGCCCACTTATCGCACATAACCACTTGAGCATTAACCACAAAAGCCTCTTCAACGGGTCCGGCAAATGAAAACAATTTAATTAACGCCCAATTGCGATGGAAACGTTTGGCTGGGAGCTGGGATCTGGAAGCTGGGAGTCTGGGAGTCGCAGCGATCCGATCCAAGCGATGCGAGCCGAGGTCCACACTTCAGTTGAAGCAGCGAAATGTAACGGCGCCATTGGTCACTTGAACTACTTTCTTGTGGGAGCTGACTCATGCGACTGCCGCTCGGATCGGTTCGGTTCGGCTTGGCTTGGATCGGATTGGGACAGCGGCAATGACGGCGACTGCGGCGGCGGCAACTGCAATTGTGCAGCGGTTGGCCCGGAGGCCACCGGAAATTGTTTCCAACGTCAAAAAGCACACGAGTTGTCAAGATGAGAAGAGCAGGGACGAGCAGGAGGGGGGGAGAGAGAGCAGGAGTGTGGTGGAGAGCAGAGCAGTGAAGAGTGGAGACGAGGCGCAGTTAAGAGAAGTTTTTAACGATGCGGTCCGGGCACGTTTTGAACTCTGCTTCCACTTCTTCCTCGCCCTCTGCCTCACACTCTTTCGCTTCCACTCTTTCTTCTGTGTGTGTGGCTTGACCTAGAAAAATCAAAGACTTTCGGCCTGTGCCGTAGGTGTATTGTAATAATGATGCTCATAACTGTGATAATGACGTTGTTAATGATCTTGGCCATTGATGATAATGATGTTGGCATCGCATAAACCATTTTAAATGTTGGCTCATTATTATTTTGACTACGTCGACGTCGCGTTGCGGTTATTGTGTTTATTGGTCGCCTCTGCTGCAGTTGCGCTTTTCGCTCATAATGTGTATACCCTGTAAAAATGTGAGATGTGGCTGAAGGGTGGCTAGCTAATTGGGGAAATAAAATATCATATATAATTATATGATATCATTTCATAAACAAATACATAATATTCATAGATTCTAGTCTGAGCTTGTTCTAAAATTCAGTTACTCTACATTTAATACAGGGTATTTTTTAGTCGAGTCAGTTATTAGTTTATTGCTCTTACTTGTTCCTAACTGGGTTTATGTACGGTCTTGGCTTTTATCCGCTAGCGCGAGCAGCTGCACCAGGAGCCTGCTTCAGTTTCCATCTCTTTCTCTCACTATGTCTTTCTCCCTCTATCGTTCTTCTTTGGCCAAGGTTGTCGGCAAGTTTTGTAAGTTGATTGGTTATTTTTTCAAAATTTTTGGAGCTGGACACGTCCAATGCATTGTTTATGTTCTTGAACTCCTTTTTTTCAAGTGTGTCTAAACGTGGCCTCAAATGTTAATTTACAGCTTTTGCTGTCATAACTTAAGCAGAAGCCAAGTGGAAGGAATATAAGCAGCAAGTACA